ATAAATAAATAAATAAATAAAATCTTAAAAAGAAAAAAAAAAGGATGTTTTAGAAAGAGCTCTCTGCCCAGTGAGGAGAGGGATGGGCAGATGTATTAGAGGAAGGCTTCTGGGAGCTGGGTGAGGTTTGCAAGAAGAGCTTATGGGTCAGCACCTGTGACAGCCAGCTGGGGCAGGCATCCGTCTGTCCTCAGCTGAGTTCATTGATGTAACTTGGGTGTAGCAAGCCCCCTGGAAGGGAAACCATGTCTTCGAGTTTTGCAGGGTTCTTTCCAGCATAGCAGGATGTCATTAACACAGTCCTCTCTCTGTCTCTCTTTAGGGCTACTCAGATCAAGACCTACTCCTGGGACAATGCACAGGTTATCCTGGTTGGGAACAAGTGTGACATGGAGGAAGAGAGGGTTGTTCCCGCCGAGAAGGGCCGGCTCCTTGCAGAGCAGCTTGGTATGGGCACAACATATGTATATGTGTACATGTTTACATTGGAGTGTGACATTAAGGGTGTGTTGTGATTGTGAATTATGTGCATGTGGGCTCTGTGTATGTTGTTTTATATTTGTACCATGTGCATGTAAGCTTTGTGCTAGTGAATTTTAGGTAATTTGTTATTTACGATGTGTATATTTTATTACATTGAATTAATAAGTGTAATTTAAATTCACGAATTTTTTTCACCAGTTCCTTCCACAAAGGCTTTGAGATGTTTTATAAAAATCATCACAGTGGGGTTCCTGGGTGGCTCAGTCAGTTAAACAGCTGCCTTTGGCTCAAGTCATGATCCCAGGGTCCTGGGATTGAGTCCTGCATTGGGCTCCCTGCTCAGCGGAGAGAGCCTGCTTCTCCCTCTCTCTCTGCCTGCCGCTCTGCTACTTGTGCTCTCTCTCTAGCTCTCTGTCAAATAAATAAATAAATAAATAAATTTTAAGATTTTATTTATTTGACAGAGAGAGAGAGAGAACACGAGCAGGGGGAGTAGGAGCAGTCAGACCTGAGCCGAAGGCAGACACTTAACTGACTGAGCCACCCAGACACCCCCAAATAAATAAAATCTTTTAAAAAAATCATCATAGTACATCAATAAAAAAATAAGAAAATTGGAGTAAAGGGAAAACAAAGTTAAGAGAAAATAAGAGGAAGCCGGGGTGAGATAAGTGGATATGTTTTAAGTTCCCAGGCATGTGTAAGAGTTGGACCAAAATATTGGCTTTGAGCTTCCTTACCAGCCAAGCAAGGCAAGAAACATAATCAAATACACAGTCTTGAGATGGTCCTTAAAATAAAAAACCCATTATTCAGAGAAGCACTTCTCTTGTGCAACTGTAAAGCAGACTCTGTATGCTGGATGTGACAATGTCCTTAATATCAAACGTTCTTACAGCAACCACAACGTTACGTCTTAGAATTTCCCTCAATGTAAACTGATGTTTCCTTACCAAAACACAATTCACAACAAAAGTAATTGTATGAAGGGATGAAACAGTGTGGTTTAAGTGATGCTCTGGCATTTTCCAAGGTTAAAGCACTTTTATCTCTGTGCTTCACTGAGACCCAGGTGCCTCAGATGTGTCTCAATGGCCCTACAGCAGAACTCCGACCAATACTTGCTTCAAAGAGCAGCTCCTTGCCTTGCCTTGCCTTTCTTTAAGATTTGATTTATTTACTTGACACAGAGAAACACAGTGTGAGAGAGAGCACAAGCAGGGGGTTGCTGCAGGCAGAGGGAGAAGCAGGCTCCCCACTGAGCAGGGAGCCCAGTGCGGGGCTCGATCCCAGGACCCTGAGATCATGACCTGAGCTGAAGGCAGACACTTAACCAACTGAGCCACCCAGGCTTCCCTCTTTTTTTTTTTTTTCCTTTTCTTTTCCTTTCTTTTCTGTATTGGGGTTCAATGTAGGATCACCTCGGAGAAAACTTCCCCAGAAGGAAGGATATATTGCTTAACTTTTAGCCAGTCTCCCTAAATATGTCTCATAACCTAGGTGTTGTAAATATTGAGGAGTAGGGAGTTTAAAGTTATTTTCTCTGATGGTCTCTGAAGTATAGATATTTGGGCTTGTAGGTGGGCAAACTGTATAATATACAAATGTGAGTTGTGTATGGTATATATTTGTATTATGCGTATTATGAGTACGTGTGTGGGGGAGTGTCTTATACTTCTTTCTTCCCTCCCTTATTCCCCAGGGTGGCCTGGAATAGAAATTGGCAAACTGTAGGTGTTTAATAAAGAGGGAGGTTGGGTTATCTTGGATCTTACTGTTCTTTCCCCATCAGGGAAAAAAAAAGTGCCTCTACCCGTCCCCCTGGTTCAAAGAGCAGTGAGCATGTGGTGAAGCATACATTTGGGTGACCTTAGGTATCACTTTATGCCTTCAACCTGCTGTCCCCAGGGAGGCTCCCAGCACTTTCCCTGGAGTGGCTACACCCCATCTGTTTAGAGCGCGCTCTTCTACTCCCCACCCCATTACCCTCAACCAGCCGGTAAACCTCCACTCACTTTTCAAAACAGCTCACGCTCTGAAGCCTCTCCTGGCCCCCAGAGCTCTTTTCTTCGTGCCCCCGCCTCACACACAGCAGACACAGTCCCAATCACACTTGGGTGCGCTTGTTTACTTGTCCATCTCCCCTCAAGTTCCATGAGGACAGGAAATGAGTCGTTTATTTTTGTGCCAACAGTGCCTACTTATATGGCCTGGCACTGAGTAGACACTGCAAAAATGTTTTGATTAAATTTTATTTATGTTAAGTATTTGGCTACTTCATTTTATTTCAGTCCAATTAAGACTTCCTGAGTGCTACTCTCTGCCAGGTACTGAGCTGTGAAATAGGATCACACGCCCCTGTCTGAAGGACAGAAACAGTGATACCCCGAGTGATCAGTGTGATAGAGGGATGTGCTGGGGCTTGGGGGGGCCCAGAGGAGGCACCTAACTCAGTGGGGATCAGAGAACATGATGCCCAAGCTGAGTCTTGAAGACAAAAACAGGAGCAGCCAAGTGAGGAGGAGAAGCAAGGACATTTCAGGGGAATAACACTGGCAAAGGCAAGGAACATCATGTGTGTTCAGGGAACTATAAATCATTGACTGTGTGAGTCGAGAGTAGCATTTCCCAAAAGAAAGACTTATGCCACTGGAAGTGAGTAAGATGATTTCATGTATGTATTGGAAAAAAAATATATAATCAGCATGTCAAGCCCTTAGAATTAAACAAGACTAAGTTTTAAAAGGTGTACTTGGAAAAAATATAATTGGCATGCCAAGCCCTTACGACTAAGATTTGTTAAAAGTGAGTTGGTTAAATATTTATTAGGTATTTACCTTGTGCCAGGCACTATTCTAAGTGTTTTAAAGTATTACTCAGTTAATTTAATCCCCCTGGAGCCCTCTGACATACTTACTTCTCTTATCTCTAAATTGTTTTTTTTTTTAAACAGATGAGAAAACTGAGGCACAGAGAAATTGAGTAACTTGCTAAGGTCACACAGCTAGTAACAGGTAGAGTCAGAATTTGAACCCAAGCAGTAGTCTGGCTCCATAGCCTGTGCTCCTAACTACTTAACCTCACTGTACAGTAAATAGGGTAATAGGTGATATATATTGATCCAGGTATTATATGATACGCTGTGTATTAATTATTTCATTTAATTCTCACTATAACCCTTCCAGGTCGATACTATAGGGTATGTCTAATACTCTGAAAAACGAAGTTCAGAGGGGTTAAATAATTTGCTCAAGTTTATGCAGTTAAGAAGTAGTGGAGTCAGTTTAGATCTATCAAATTTATATAGGAACATAGATGAAGTCAGATTAATTCTTAGTGCAGGGTTTAGGGAGGCACTTAAAGTAGGCCTTAATGAGTAGGTCAGATTTTGGGCAGGTCATAGTAAACCATGTCTGTCCTACACAATTTCCTGAGCTTTCCTCTGTTGCTTACCAATATTTCCCTATTTAGAGACCTATCTCTCTTGCTAGACCTCCAGAGCAACAAGGTTATGTCTAATTTGGTTCATTATCCTAAGCACCCAGCATAGGTTGGATATTCATTCATTCATGCATTTATTCACTTATTCATTGAGCACTTACTCTGAACTGGGTTCTGTCTTGGTACTTGGGATATAATAGTGAACGAAACAGCTATGATACTTATTATCATGGAACTAATGGAAAAGGGACAATAAATAATTATACAAATATATAACTTAAAATGTTTTAAATAGACAAATTGAATGGTGTGTGAATTATATCACAATAAACCTGTTAAAAATTGTGATAAGTTCTGCATGAGTTAGGACTCTTGTTATGACAAGTGATAAAATCCCAAATCAAGGGGCGCCTGGGTGGCTCAGTCGTTAAGCGTCTGCCTTCGGCTCAGGTCATGATCCCAGGGTCCTGGGATCGAGCCCCGCATCAGGCTCCC